AAGGGGAAAAAAGATGCACTTTTGGCTAAAGACATATATAATAAAAACGGATTAAAAATATCCATTTTTGGTGTTTTAAACAAAACGAAAATCTTAAATCTATTTTTAGAAAGCTTGATAATTAAGGAGTCCAGGTCCTGGACTTTTGGTATTTTAGAAAACGGATTACAAGTATCCGTTACGGATTACAAGTATCCGTTTTTGGTTTTTCAAACAAAACGGATAAATGAAATCCGTTTTAAGGAGTCCAGGGTCCTGGACTCCTTAAAACGGATTTCATTTATCCGTTTTGGTTAATTACTTAAAAAAAATTTAAAAAACTTCATTTTCTTTTTAATTCTTGAAAACCATAAATTCATACAATGAAACCCTAACGTCTAATAAATAAAATAACTAGAACAAGAAAATGCAACCTAAGCATGCTAAATTGAGAAAATAAAGATTTGATTCATTGTTGCTGGTACAATTTCTACACCTGTGATTAATAGTCGCATTCCTTTGCCCGTTGTCAATGAAACTGCTCCAACATTGTTTCCTACTGGTTCAGCCCAACCCTGAAAATGGTGAATAGAAAAATAGTGGAAAAGACGGCCTGGATTTTTGGGCGTATTAGATAACATAAATTTACACTTATTCCCACATAACGGGCAAAAAATTGCCTCGTAACGCAGGTAACTGGTGCTGTTGGTGTTGTTGCTGCTGCTCCAGCTTGACATTTTCTTAGTAATGGAGAAGAAAATGATCCATAGGACCGGTTTGTTGGATTTTATACACAAAAAAACGGATGTGCAAATTCCATTTTTGTGTTAGCCTAAAAACGGATTTTCCAATTCCGTTTTCATTACTTTATGTTTTTATATATAATACTCTTAACACATATTACAGATTACAGTTATCACACAAACAGAACCAAACATTCTACTAAGATAAAAATAATACATCAAAATAAAAACCAAATTCATCATCCAAACAGAATCAAACATCCAACTAAGATAAAAATAATACATCCAAACAGAACCAATAATGATAAATTGATCAACACAACGGAGGGATTCAGTCCTCTTCAACATTTTCGAAACCATCTGCGTCCCAGTTGACTTCCAATCTAGTCCGATCAGCTATGCGGTGCGAACGATGACATTTCCTTGTTAAATGATCTCGACTGCCGCATCTCCTACATCTTCTGCGTTTACCCCTGCCCATATAATCCATTGACATCAAGAATCGCCGCTGTTGTTGACGACCTACAGCATTATACAGAACTAGATTGACATAATCAGGAACAAGGTTCCACCCTGGAGACACCCACTCTTCTCTTCTTGGGACGGGAACAAACCTAAAATGACGAAACTACTTATGCCATGTGCTCGTCTTATAATATTATAATATTCATGTATTATGTTTTCTGGGTGATCACCAATCCACCGACATATAGCCAATGCGTGCAAACAAGGAAGCCTGTAAGTCTGTCACTTCTTGCATGAACAACACCAATCCCTGTATTCTACTTTGTGTTCATTTCCACCTTTCCCTATACGACGCCAACCTGTAATGACCCCATACACTTGGTTCTGGAAATCATACAGCTCCACTTTGTGAGTTGCTGCTGTATTCTCATACTTACAAAATTTCTTCCAATACTTATCTCCGATAGGAGTATTGCACTTCAAGGCATCTGCATACTGATCACGGAAGAACTTAATTGTCTTCGCCAAAAACGATTCCACACAGCTCTAATTGGTAAAAATCGAACACCCTTCAGAACATTGTTGTAACTCTCAGATATATTTGTTATCAACATGCCCCAACGTGCATAATCTTGATCGTAGGCAAGACTCCACCTCTCCCTCGGAATAGCCATCATATAAGCAAGACCTGTTTCATTGCACTCTCTCAGTTGTCGCTGAAATTTTAGAAATTTGTGATTTTGTCGCTTGTTGCCCATTTTCCAGCACACTAGATTGGTTCGTGCAATTTGTTTTTTTGTGTTTCGCCACCATGTTGCTCCGAACATGTCGAAGACAATACCTGTGGTATCCAAAATATGATTCAAGCCACAAATCGACATTATTTTTCAGTGCACTGATTATCCCTTATGCCGATCTGATATAAGGCACGTGATTCTATCGTGTACAACATGAAGCCTCAAATTACAGACAAAAAAAATGACCAACTGTCCTCTCTCCTCATCTACAATTGCAAAAGCAATGGGCAAGATATGGTTGTTAGCAGTTTTCACCATTGCTACAAGAAACTTACCCTTGTACTGACCGCGAAGGTGTGTGCCATCAATACTCACAACAGGTTGACACATATGAAAGGTCGCAATGGAAGGACCAAATGCCCAGAAAACATATTTGAAGACCCGATGTTCATCATTCTCAGTCTCGGGCTACCATTTTCACTCAACAACTGTGTTGGGATTAGACTTCTGTAGTGCAGCCATATACCTATCATAAATACAAAATAGTCCAATAAACAATCCAGTAATTCGAGAATTAAAAAAGTCTGCATTTGCATCAACAAGTAGTTTAGATTTGAATAAACAGTCTAGCATAACCCTAAACAGTCCAGTATTTTCCTAACAAATAATAAGTTTTAAAGTTTTACCAGGGCAATTCCGTGAAATTATCGATCCAGCTACCATAAGACGCTTCGATAGCTTTTCTTCTTGCATGCCATGCCTTCTTGTACTTCACATCCACCTTATAAGCTTCCTTCACAGCATCTCTGATTGATTTCACCTTAAAACCAGGATCATTTTCAACACTACGCCTGATAAGTTTGGCTATTAACTTCAACCTCAAATTGCGATGGTCATTTTGTCTGGTTATTCCAACGCAATTGTGACGATCAACCCAGGACACAATTTGCCATGGACCATTCTGCTTCAAAGATGCACGCATCCTTCACGCACAAGTAGATTGCCCAATTGGAGTTTGCATTCTTCTTGTCGCGCACTCTGCAGCCCATGACTTACGTCCAGAAGCAAAAACATAAAATTGCCTGTTGTGATGTATGTTCCAGTCTTCGATAGCTGCCTCCACTTCATCCTTGGTTTTGAAACAAGTATTCAAATCAAGGTTTTCTCAATCACCTTTCCACATCTGATGAACCTGAAAAATTATAAATAATTTCCACCGACGAGTCGTCCGTAATTGTTGCGCTTCGTCTTACACTGTTGTTTTCAAACAACAAGTTAATTCTCAGATTTACATAATTTCTATCCCAACCCGCTTTATCACAAATTCTGCCCAAAAACTCAGAATACGACAGCTTGCGCTCAATAACTAATGTCGCATCTGCCCTGTTATCAAATGTTCTGATCGTGCCTTCCTCCACAACATATTTATTTCTCCAGTACACATTAATAAAATATGGACCATTCTATGCCATTTTTTCTGTCATAAATATAATATTTCTCAAAAAAAAAGTCTAAACAGTCTAATATTTTCCTAATAAAACAATCCAGATTTCCATAAACAATCCAATGTTTCAAAAAATAGTCCAGATTTTCTAATAAAACAGTCCAGATCGAATTTCCTAATAAATTCAATATTTTTTCACAGAATATTCTAATTCAAATTTAATAAGACCAATAAATAATTAATTTAATATAACACGATGAAAAGAAACAAATAACATCAACGCAATACTAACCTTGACGATAATAATTTTCAGGCGTAAAAAACATGTTCAAACTGAAGACCTCTTTATATTTTTTTCTTCCCGTTCAAAACTTTCGAGACCTGGTAACAGTATCAATTCTTTTTCATATATACACCTAAAAAAGGATTTTACAATTCCGTTTTTATGATTAAAGCCTATGACACCAGTGATTCGTACAGATTATCAATGTCAGACCAATAATGCATCTGATAACCTGATAACAGAAAAACGGAATGCCGTTTTCCGTTTTTTGGTAACACGAAAAACGGAATTGAGTCTTCCGTTTTTTGATTGATAAGGAAACATAATTTCAATTTCCATTTTATATTTTTCTCAATATTTCCTATCTTTTTATTCCGAGCGAATTTTTTTTTTCAATTTTAATTATTTTAAAAATTAAAACAACGAAACGGATATTGAAATTCCGTTTTGTAAATTATAGTTAAAAAAATGAAAAAAGCATTTCCGACACATGTTTTCAGGACCACAAAAAATAATTAAAATAAAAGTTTCTTCCCGTTTTTTTTGGGGTCTATTTAGGGAAATGGGCCTTGGTTTGTGGCTTAGACAAAAAAATTTGATGGACGGCCGAATTTCAAATGATACTTGAATAACTAGGGAAAAGTGTTCAACCTGACAATAGTGAAAACGTTATTGTGCGAAAAATGATAAAACATATTAAAGGGAGAAGATACATGTTAGTTTTGGACCATATCTGGAATGTAGATCTATAGTTGTCGGATAATTTTTTTGTGACGGGAATAAACAATGATGTGAAAGGAGTTGGTGTCTCGTTACTAATCGCACACTCTTAACAACAACCATCCAGAGAACACATGGCCAATTTCACATATGAAAAAAAAAAAAACCCTACTCCTTTCTGGTCCTTATAATAAAATATTATGATTTTTTTCTAATTTTCATTTATTATGTTTTTTTAATTAAAAATAATCTTATATATATAGTATGTTTTTACATTTATTTAATTCTCTCAATTGTTATAAATTATTACCAATGTTTTATTTTCAATTGAAAAATATGATAAATGAAATTTAGAAAAAATTAAAATATTTTATAATAAGAACAGGAAGGGTATCACACATGATTGTTGGTCGATCTTTAAAGGCTATTTTCTTCCTTCTTTGTACCCGAAATAAATAAATAAATAAAATTCCAAGCTGATGTTTTGATTTCAATGCGGAAGGATATATCAACTGACGGTCAATCTTCTAGGCCGCTTGCTGCTGCTTCTCATAATCATTAGTTTTTCCCATGAGATTTAAATTTGTATAAGCCTAAAAAGTATTTAGTTTTACACTAAATATTTATTAGTTTTCATAGTGCATACATGGTGTGTTGTAAATGGAGAACGAAAATGATGAGTCACACTCTGTTTACGAATTGTAATAAAAACAACGCAAAATAAACATAAAACTCTCCTTTTATTTTATTCATTCATATTAATGTCATTGACAACAAGTCTTATTAGAGAATACTTTTATTTAATACTATTACTTGGATATTCCACAAGTGAAACCACCATGAGGAATCCTCGATCAAGTACTAACTACGTACTATTACTTCCTGAAAACTTTGATTCCGGACCAACGGGACTCCATGTAATTAGAAGGGCTGTCCTGTGTGTAAACTCCGAACTTGAAATAATGGTTAGCGTCACCGTTATCTCCGGTCTCATACTTGAAGACTCCGTTAATGTAGACCTGGACTCTTCCGGCGTCGGCGTTGTGGATGACGTTGACCCGGTACCATGTGCCGTAGACATTGGAAATTATGACGGGGCTTCTGTAGTAGGTGAGGTTAGGGTTGTAGACTCGAAGCATCGCGGTCGTGGCCGCGGAGCTTCCTCCGAACACTTGCATTACGCTAACGCCACTAGTCCCTGACGGAATGTACATGTTCCCTTCGAATTGCCATGTTCCCGAACTGTAATCGTAACCCTGAGAAATGCATTAACGAAATATGTAGTTATATAAGTGATACATTAAAAAGTGACTAAGACGGTCAATGTTTAACGTACAGTTATCTCATATCTGATTAGTTTGTTGTACATAAAAAATGAGCGTAACAAATTGTACAAAGTAGCAAAAAATGTCGAACAAATGCATGAAGGTGAGACTTTGTCTAACATGTAGTTATACTACTCATGAATCATGACAGAACTAATGATTACTCCCTCCCTCCCATAATTATTGTCCATTTTGTCCAAAAAATTTTGTCCCAAAATTATTGTCCAATTTGACTTTTTATGGATCAAGTTACACATTTGTCCTTAGTAAAAACCATTATCTATAAAATCTTAGTGGTTAAACAATTACTTATGTAGGGGTATTTTCGGTTGTTTAAGGTAAAATATAGTTAAATTTGACCAAAAATAAAATCTTTCATTTTAGTAAAACTGGACAATAATTATGGGACGGAGGGAGTATAAAATTACCGGAAAAAAATCTAGTTGTTTCTTTTAAACGTACGGTTTAGATAAGAGGGTCATGTACGTAAACTCTAACAAGTCGTAGTACGCGATTTGAGAGTTTAGTCAAAACTTTCATTTGACTATCACTATTCTCGTACGTATGTTACTTGCTCATTTAGCTTTTGAAGGAGTCCGAACTAATTTTAAGTAACATTGCATTTTTCACAACTTGTTATTTGATTGGAAATCCATGTTCAAATATAGCATCTGTTAAATCTTTCAAGCTGAAATACTGGAGTAATGGACCAATCATCATTCAATCATCACAAATTGGAAGATGACTATGGTGAAAAGAAAGAGTTAAAAATCGAAATGATATATACTTACAGTGATACGAATTTCAGTACGAGGCTTGGTGGTACTGCTAGGGCTAAAGGGTTTGTCAGTGGAATAAACCCAGAATTTATGGACTCCGTTAACGAAAGAATAACGGTCAGATTGGGACACATCGTAAGGATATTGCACTTGGAAGTTGGATTGGCTAATAGGAACCTGAGTGAAGCCATCAGTTGGATCAGCCATGGCAGCCTTGAGAATGACTCCCAACAAGAAAATGGTAACAATGAAGAAAATGGATGTCTTCATTTTTGGGTAATTTGCAGGGAATTAATTTATGAAGCTTTTATGAAATGAATGCTTCTTGTGGATATGGAAAAAGTTCCCCGGACTTGGCTATTTATAGCTTAGATTGATTGAGTTTGATTCCAATCTTATAAAAAGATTTTGTGGCTTGTAGCCATCACAATAATTGATATGAAGACTTTCAATTCCCCGTTTCTTTGACCAAAAACAGTCGAACGTTTTTAAAAATTGACTATTACTACGGTGGAAGTGTTAATCATATTCTCATATGCTTTATTAGTTAATCCTCTTCGAGGTGTTCTGGTGTCGTTTGTTTGAATATCCTCATGTATTCTTCTCATGTTTCTCATCCTTCTTACCACTGAATAACAACTTTTTTTTTCTTAGTTACGATTTTTTTTTTTGGACATTACACGTCTAGTATCTAAAGTCCTTGCTCCTATTAATTCGGATTGAAATTTTGTATGTACGAGTTAATTAGATTATTTCTTCCAGGCACAAAAAAAAAAAAAAAAGAATATGCGTGTAAAAAGAATCAGAGGATATATGAAAGAACAAGTCATGTGACGGTAATGATGTATTATTGTTATTGACTTCATCACCAGAAGACGCACTAAGAATGAATGAAAATAATGCGGATATGGTCCTGGTAAAAGAGTTGAACTTACTTCGATATAATGGTAGAGGAGAACATATTTCAATCTTCTTTTATTATTATTCTTAGTATTTTTTTTTTTTTGTCTCCATTTCTATTTTTTCTGGGAATTCAGCTCCGAATATGTTACGTATGGTCCTTGTAAAGGATTTTTTACTTTAAACTTCTGTTGAAATTCAATTGTGTATCTATGTTAGAACATTCATTCAACCGTACAAATTATCCTCTGATCATTTATTAAGAAATGGACCACTTTTTCTGTATAGGGCGACATTTAGTTTAATCTCTTTTTTTTCACTATAATATTTTATCTGTTTCAAAATAATTATTCAATTATAATTCTCATTTTTATATAATAACTGCACTAAAAGTAACCAAAAATTCTAACCACTTCATTATGCTGGAAATGAAAGGAGTAGCAATTAACTTATACTAAAATTCAAACCAATCAACTATGTGGAAATAGAAGGAGTAGCATTTATTAGTTAGATCGGTAAAGTTTTATGGTGGCCGCCCGCTCGAGTTTTGTCATCACAATTCCCTCTCTTCGCTACCCATTGACTAACTAGAAGTAACATTCCACTCTGCATGTATTCTTTTATTCTAGAAATTTTCACTCTTTTTTATTTTCCATATATATCAACGGCCAGCAGAGACCTGGACCATGTCGTTTTTAGTAGTACGTATACCGTGAGAAATTGATACAGATCAGACAATCATATTTTTATCGCTTTATTAGGATGAAATTAGGGACAATAGGGCAACGTGCTCCGTGTAAAATATATACGTCAACGAACCACATATATATTTATGTAAAATGACGCAAAAGAGACATAAGATTAATAAAATAATTATTTTGGACAGAATTTAAGATTGAATCTCCGGTGTCGTAAGGTAAAAAACACTAATCACCAAAGTGTGGCTGCTTGCCTTACCTTCTTCAATGTCAAACATTTCGGAATTTGGGTCTTGTCTATCTTTCTAAATGAGTCTTGACTCAATAACATAAGACTACATTATTGTCTTAAAATCATTCGGTAAGAAAAGAAAAAAGATAAGCTCTTCTCGATGAGTCAACATCCAAAATGTCAGCTGTAAGTGTCCATAATTGTTTGAGTTTGTGGACTCGTGGGTTGTCTTGGTACATCTGGTTTTGAGATATTGTGACTTTGGACTTCAACTTTTATTTTAATTTTCTTCCCCGCTAAGCCAATCAAATTTATGTGAAAATCACAATAGCATTTATGTGTGTTGAATGTTCGAGGCAAAAAGAGTAATATAATATTTAAATAAAATTACTTAAATCATTCTATTTATCGATTACATAATTTTGTGAAATAACACTAAAATATTGTGTACCTGAACACTATTTCTTTTGTCCTACCGAAGAAATAAATATTTTTTGTATTTTATTTAAATACAATTCTTATTCTAAGGGTGGAGTTTAACATATCTTCTCTCTTTTCTTTTTCTTTTTTTCTGAAGCCTTAACAAATTCAATTGTCTTTTTGCATATTCATACTTTCTTTAAGTATTGTTTAACTATATGAGGTAAAATGAAGGAAATGTTGAAACAACATACATCACCTTGTAAAACTCAGTCACATTCATATATTCTCTCATCTCAAACAGAAAATTTTGTTTATTGATTTAAAAAAGTACAACTCGAGACTCTTTTTATATTAGGTAAAAGGCTTAAATATATGTATCTTTACGATAAACTTGATCGCTACATACTACTAGTTGTTAATACTTGTATTTAGGATGGTGTGTGCCGCCGTTCTCTCTTTTGTTTAGTTAATTAAAAGCTTTTGGTTTGATACTTCGATGCCTTTTCTGATGCATTTTTCCAGCTTGTCAAGTTAATAAATTTATATTGATGCTTCAAACCCTCCATTATAATATGTTAGTTTGACTAAAAAGTAAACAAGAAATTACTGGTTAGTGCTTTCGCCCTAAAATAGCATAATAAATTAGAGTGACGATATACACATTTCACCTAATTTATCTCACCCTATATGACATTTAGTTATTGGACGAAATTTATTAAGTTAATTAATCATTATATAAAATCTAATAAGTTAATTTAATTATTTTTGGTTAGGTTTATATAGTTTTTGAAATTTTTATATCTAAAATTTTAAAATAAATAGACTCTAATGTCGAAAAAAATAAACTCTTTTGGTTAAGGTTATCATAATACAAAATATTATCACTATGACTAATATTAATAAGAAATATAATAATATTTAGATTAATTTATTTAGATGTAAAATAAAAAATGCCTTGCCCAATCAATAGATGCCATGTAAGGTGAGATGGAATGGTGAGATAAATTAGGTGAGATGAATATCATTACTCAATAAATTATATTTTTATATAATCATTTTGGTGTAGAGAATGATAAACATTACATCAATATATATACATACATTAATTATACGTATTTAACTTTTCAACTTTCAAGTAGTATTATCTAATGAAACATAATTACTGATCGTATAAAACCAACATCCCAAATTTGTCTTTATAGTAACTGCAACAATTACATTACAAACATAGATGAAACCCATGAAATGATTTACATTTTTTTAAGAACTCTGATACCCTTCCAACGAGATTCCATGCGGTGAGAATCATCATCCTCCACAGCGTACACACCACATTTGAAGAAATGGTTATCTCCACCTCTATCATCCTCCTCATGAAACAATTGAACTCCGTCTATGAACACTTTGATTGTGCTTTGATCCACATCATGAATAACGTTAAGTCGAAACCAACGATCGTAGATGTGTTGTGCTAAGACAGGATTGTTGTAGTAGAAGAGGGATCCTTTGTATACTCTTAGCATAAGAGTGGTTGCATGAACATTTGATCCAAAAATTTGCATCACAACTGCGCCGGAAGTTGTTGATGGAATGAATCCATGCCCTTCAAATTGCCAAACTCCCGAAGAGTAGTCGTAACCCTAGTATCAATTAATATGGAGAGATTATTTTTCGCTTTCGTCCACTATAATCTATGTGAATATGTATTATATACATAATCACGCTTGTGATGTATTTAAAAAATAAAAAAAAATCTCTGATCAATCAGTTAAGATGGCTTGAAAATTGCAACTTTTGTATATATAACATCTTAATGCTGTGTTCCAATGATCTTTCATTATCGAAAGTTTTAGAAATTAATTCGGTTTCAAACTTTCGATTGATTAAGTTCTAATTATTGACAATCAAGTAAGAAAAACAAAATCAGCTGCAACGAGCGTGACTCAAATTAAATCTACACCTGATTTTGTGTTGTTAGTCACGGAATGATTAAGTAAAAGGATGATAATTATTAAAAGTAATATGTGTGGTAATTTAGAAAAAATTTCAAAACAAAGAATAACAAAATAATAAACCATTTTTTAAAATTATTTTCTTAAAAAAATTTTGAGAAGCAATTAAGTTAAAGGAACCAACTAAGCAGATTTTCCAACAGGCTGAATTTAAACAACCTCTTTTACAGTAAAATCAAAGAATAACGAGCACCCAATTCAGAATCAAAAATAAAATAAATTAATCAAAACATATGCTATATTGTTGCTTTTATATAAATGGCGAAACAATTAAATTTAAATCACCTGAATACGGAGTTCAGTACGAGGTCTAGTGTTGCTGTTGGGAGAATGAGGTTTATCAGTATTGAAAACCCACATTGTATGAACTCCATCAACGAACGAATAGCGCTGATTTATTGGGACATCGTAAGGCCGTTGGATCTCGAAATTGGATTCATCTAACGGAAGAGACACGAACCCGGCCGTTGGATCATCATCAGCAAATTTCAGCCCCTCTACACCACTTAATTTGTCTATTTTCATGTTAAGAACGATTAGAAGACTGAAAAACAGAGTTACAAAAGAGGAAGAGTGTGCCATATTATTTGATAATTTCATAGCTAAATTAATTTGTTTGGTTTCTGTGAATTAAAATAAAAAGATGGTTGAGTTAGAAATGAAACAGCTTGGTTTTATAGGCTTGAAGTTGAAAGGTTGCAGATCAAATGTGAATGGTGATTTCGTCGATATATACTGAATCTGTTTGCCGGTTGATTTCGTACGTTCTGCCTTATTTAGAAGGTAGAATATTCTTGTGACAATAAAGTACAAAAAAATTATCAGACTGTAAAATTAGCATCTAGCAATTGCATAGTAATTTTCATCTTGAGAGGTAAAATACGTTTCAACACTTGCGTAGTTTAGCATTTACGTAGTTCATTTCCCGAATTGTTGCAAAGAACAAGAAATACTAAGTTTTACCTAAAATTGGATAAGTATTTAGGAACAAACATTTGTCCTAGGGCAGATTAAATTTTACTAAAGAAAATCTCAACTCTTCATATTTTAGAGTCTATTTTTTACAAGAGATGTCATGCATAATTTTCTTCAATTGGTTATCTCATTCCCGGCTATATGTTATTCATGTCATAACCTAGATGCTTTCACGGGAAGAACAACAAAAGAATAAATTTAGGTTCTCCAACCAATCCAGCAAATAAATGCATGTTAATCTACATGTATTAGTTAAATAACAATGAAAAGGGCCGGGTATGTAAACATGGTAGTATCATTTTGTTGAACTACGGAGGGGAGAATGAATTTAATCCTCAGAGCTTAAAAATGGTCAAAAGAGGACAAATGATTAGCTGGAGATCGCTTTAGCATTTCAATCGAAATATTAGAAATATTTCGACAATGTATGGGAAACCGATCGATTCACATTCATTACTTAATGGCTAAGTAAAAGAACCTTTAAGGGTGTGTTCGGCTACATGTTTTTGGGATTCAATTGGCATTCAAGATATTTTAATTCAATATCAATTTATTCGTTCGGCAAAATCATGTAATTGACCACAAATTCAAATGGAATTCCAAATTCTCTGTTCGGATAGTCAAGTAATTGGGTTGGTTTTGACTTTTGCTTATTTTTTACAAAAATAAAGAAAAAATAAAAAATTTGATTTATTTTGAAATTATTTCAACTTTTAATTTTTGTTTTAAATATTATTATTTCTAAAATAATATATTTTGTTATCATCTTTAAGGTGATAAAGAGGAATCTCTTTAAATTTTTATTTTTTAAATTTATCAATTATTTAAATATTCATTATAATGATCAATTTAGGTCGTTCCAACACTGTTATATTAATATAAATATAAAAATTACAAAAATTTGTTACGTATGTAGTAATTAATTTAGTTAAAGTGATTGTTTTGAAATCAAAAAAACAAAACTGATTATAAAATGAAAGGGCGGTATCACCCAATTTTATATATAATGTAACAATCATCCAAACATTTCATATATTCTTATCAAACATAGAATCTAGTGAAAATACTTATCCAACCAATGTTACTACCACTAAAACCAAATTATTCTACATTTCATCAAATTTCAGAAAATAAGATGTCAACCCAATTTTCTAGCTTATGACATCAGCTATGCTAAATGCATCCTTTCCACTATCAATAGATGTATTATATGCATCCTTTCCACAACTAGAGAGCCAGACAATTAGTAGTTTCAAGATAACTGGTTCAACATATGTGTTCCGAGATATGCTTGATTTTCCATCGTTACTTTTCATAGAAGAGGAAAGAGCCAGGTACTTCACCATGCGGTGCATTAAAGGCTTTGAACCTCCTAAAATTGGTACCGGAGCTTCGAGTTCAATTCGCAAAACCTACACCATCACATTAACTTGAAGATCACGCTCACATAATTACTAGTATATATGATACTTTAACCAGTCTTGTCCAAAACCTAATTGCTTCTTCAATCTTGTTATAGTCACTGAATTTGTTGTTGTATATACACAGCTATCCACCAAATACTAGCTCGTGCCCTCATGCTATCTGCAAATGATGGCAAAACTACATTACTATGCGACACTTGGGATTTATTTGCAGAAATTTGAACTTTTCCCATCATTTAGCTATACCATTGATGAACTCTTCCTCCATTTCCTCAATTAGAACAGAAGGCAATGAGACAGATTTAAAAAACATACATTTTTTTAAAAAAATTCTATAACCATTGTAAGTGTAAGCTTACAAGGAGAAGGTACTCTGTAAGAGGGAAATTGGAAACTACCTTCCAAATGACATGAGAACATCATCTTTATATGGAGCATAAGTCATCGACTATGGCTGCGGGGTAAATGTTGATGCTAACAATTTCTGGCCATGAGGGTTTTTCTACATCCAATGGGCAAACTTTGACATATTATTGAAGAGAACACTGGAAGGTGAGTCTATCGGGTATAAACTTGATAAAGGCAAAAAACATTCTACTCGTTTGAGCAGTGAACCATTATGGGGATATTTTCAAAAAGTTCAAAAAAAGCAAACTAACTAAAGTACGAAACTACAAAAGGCAAACCTCACAGAAGCTCTTAAAGACATAGTCAGCAAGACAGCAGCTATAAACTCTTGAACACTAGAAGTACGCAAGAAAATCCTTGGTTGTCTCCCAAGTCAATTCATGCAAAGCATATAGTTTCCATTTCATTTTCTATGCTTAAAAGTATGCCAATGGCTTATCTACCAACACAGAACTAGCTAGCAAGGACAGAACACAATTTTAGCAAAAATTCCAAAACCAGTAGACAGAAAATAGCACCAACTTGGACATTCCAAAATGCATGCAACCTTCTCCCAACATGATATTGAGATAATCAGGTGATGCAAAAGGGATTCTTTGCATTCATTGGAATGGCGGATGAGAAAAGCAATTTGTAGAAGGAACTCCAAAAAATAAGAGAAGCACATTGTATGATTTGCGGAACTCTTTTAGGAATCAGCATACATAAAATCTGACAACTTTACAAATATTCTCTTCACGGTTTGTCTCTTAGGTTGATTCTATGCCTTCATTATGCATACAAACAGATAATGACATGACAGAGATCCTTCTCATATCACCATTCAAGCTTGTGGAAATCTCTTTTTAGAAGAGATTTTTGGGATCTAAAATAATGTTTTCTTCTTCAAATCATATCTTATCATATTTTCGACATCAAAGGCAAACACATGAAGGATTTTCTCTAAAAGCTTCTTCCATTTAATCAGGGAAGTGGTTGTATCACAGACACAAACAGACCATTCTAACTTAAAGTATAAAACAGCAGAAATCTCAAAAGTTTGATTTTAACACTTTATTGTGCTTCTAATTATGTAAACAAATTGCACCAGGTATAATTGGGTTTCAGCTCTTTATAGGACCAAATTCAGAAGTTGCTAACAAAGTTACTAACAAATCCTCGAAGACCTCTATACAAAGCAGCATATATACGTTCTGTCATGGAAAGCCACAAACAAATGCTTTTGTTATTTTAAATCAACCTACAGATTAATTGACATGTACAACAGGGTAAGAAGAGCACCTTGGGGAAGCGGAACGAACCTAGCAAGATTTGAAACGAACCACATATGCCTTCGTATTGACTTTCACACAACCTCGGAAAATTTTAGAAACTCACCAGAAAGCAAACTGAATACAACGAGAAGTTTAAAAGTCACTCACAAGCAGGAATGGGTCCCTTCCAAGGCCAGGACCAATTACGAGACTGCCAAATCTCTCCATCCACTTATCTACGTCTTCAATGCGAATATTGATCTTTTATCCTCATCCCTGAACATATAATCTTGGAAAGTTAGTTGCCAAAACCTAAGTGAAAGCCAAACAACTCCAAAATCAACGATAACTTAAAGTGGCAACACAAAAAGGTTAACAGTTAAGAAATCACCTGATGCTGTATGATACTTCTAGAATGGGATGCATAATTAGCTCCGACTATAGCTTTTAATGACAGGAGCAGCATCTTTAGTGCTGAATATGTGTGACAAATCCACACCCTAAGATCAGGACACAGTTTTTGAATACTCATAAAAGTAAAGTATTTACAAGAGGAAGTATAAATGTCAAGTACCCTGAAATATTCACAGAAAAGACTCGCATGTTTTAAAGCCGAAATAACAGAAAGATAAGGAGCTCCGGTGTATTCCGGACAACCACCAATTACCGCTATATTTCCTGTTGCACAAGATCGAACACAAAAGCAAGATCATCATTCACCAACAAAAGGCTTCTTACAACAAGTGTATAAGATGCCGAAAAAGTAAATTCACACTTCACTTTTGGACCATAGTAGTAGTGAGAGTTCTATCTTTTTAATATTGCTACAGCACTCTACTAAATAGCATGATTCCCATATCACATACTACTAATGTTTCATATATGAATTCATACTGAGCACACAATAAAAATCACTCTTTTCTTCCAGTATTAATTTCACTTCTCCCATTATACCCACGCTCCCCCCTAATTGAGAAGAAAGGGAGCAGTACATCACCTTTTGAAAATCAAACAGTCGCATACACCCCAGGCAAAGCCAAAGGCACCCACAGAAAGCAAACCCAATTCAAATATGACTCAATAAATAGAACCCACAAAAAATCCAGACAGATCCCTACTGAAATAAGAAGAATTTCAGTGAAAATTCAAGAATTAGAAGTGATGAGAAGCTAGCCCTAATCTAATCAAAAAGAAGAAAAGGAAGGGGATAAGAAAGATTACCAGGAACAAGGAGTTTTCTCCTCCTTAGCATTCGCCATCGCCGTCGCGGTCTCTATTGCCGTCGCTTGAAATTTTTGTCGGAGATGGAATGGATTAATGGCGGAGTAAGTCTGGAGGAGGAAGAAGGGGTACGCAAAGGAGTGGTAAAAAAATCGTGGTAAAAAGCTTTTAAAAAGGACCCGAACCCAAATGTTTATTAAAAAAACCCGCAAAAGACCCGTGAATTATTTAACTCCACAAGAGTTTGGAATTCCAAATAATAATTTCAAGCGCGAAATTAAAATTGTGGCATTAGAAGCCT